AAAGTTTGGAATGAAGTATTTCAAGCCCTGAAAGTTTCCAACCCAGATATAAGTACCCTCCAAAATTCTTCTTCAAAATTAATGGAGAAATAAGATACTTCCATGACAAAGAACAAAGAAATTCATGTGCACCGAGCCAATCTTAGAAATTGGAAGATTTTCCAGATAGAGATAAAAATGACCACAATTCCCAGAACAAACCCAGAAAGAAACCACCAGGCCAGACAAGCAATTAAACAAAGGGAAAAAACAGGAAACCAACAACAGGAGAATAACATGACAAAGATGAGCTAATACATATCATTTATAACCATCATTGTAAGTGGCTTCAATTCACTAATTAAAAGAAACAGATTGACAAAATGGATCAAGAAACAAAATTCAACAATATGCTGTATAGAAGAAACACATTTAATTGAAAAAGAAACTCATATACTGAAAGCCAAAGGAGGAAAAACAATATCCCATGCAATAGGAATCCAGAAAAAAAGTAGGGGTAGTTATTTTGTTTGCACACAATGTGAACTTCAAACCAAAAATGATCAAAAGAGATAAAGGTCACTGCATATTCATTAGGAGAAAAATTCAACAGGAAGAGATAGCAATCATAAATATATATGCACCAAATATGGGACCACTTAACTATGTAAGACCAATATTGATAAACATGAAAAATCAACTACACAGTAACTGTAACTATGGGCCCTAATACCTCATTGTCACAAAGAGTTAGATCAACTAGATAGAAAGTCAGCTAAGAAATAGCAGAACTGAATCAAACCTGTCGACAAATGGACTTAATAGACATTTACAGAGTATTTCACCCAATAGCATCAAAATATATATGCTTCTCAGCTGCACATGGGACAGTCCCTAAAATAGACCATATATTAGCCCAAAAACGTGCTTAAGTAAATGCAAGGGAATTGAAATTATTCCATACATGTTATCTGACCATAGTGTACTGAAATTGGAAATTAATGGCAAAAGAAACAATAAAACCTGTATAAACACACGGAAATTAAAGAACACCCTCCTCAGCAGCCAGTGGGTCATAGATGAAATTAAAGAAGAAATTAAACAACATCTACAATTAAATGAAAATTCAGATACAACATATCAGAACCTGTGGGATGCAATGAAAGAAGTCCTAAGAGGGAAATATATAACACCAAACTGTCACATCAGGGAAACAGAATAAGCACAAATAAACAACCTACTGCTACACCTCAAACGTGTAGAAAAAGAAGGACAAGTGTTAACCAACACTCATTGAAGGAAAGAAATTACAAAGATCAGCGCAGAAATGCACACAATTTGTGGGGGATGAGGTGTCACTTTGTAGGCCCAACCCCCTCTAACCTGCAATTTACAATAGCCGCCCTGGTATGCGAGAAGGAGGTAGAACGGGAATGCCTGTTCTCAGTGAGCCCTCACCCTCTGGAATCCATACTGTGAGCTGGCTTTGTTTTGCAGAAGTCTTGAGGAAGTGGCTGGCCACCCTTTGTGACACTAACAGCAGACAAATTAACAACATTCTTGAGCTAATGAATTTCTTCCTGGGCTAGAGAAGTTGTGAGAACTGGTTGTGATTATTTACTTCACTTAGATAGTTTTAGAATAAACATTGTAGTCTGTCACGTTGTAGCTTGCCACAAAGAATGCCTTTTCACTACTTAATTATCTGGGCTCTGTGAATTGATCGGGTTTACTATATATGAATCCTAAAATAAAGATTGTGCGTACAGTGCAGTGCAGTGCAGTGTAACGCGGTGCAGACAGCAAAGGTGTCTCTCCTGTCTTTCTTTTCCAAGCGCTGTACCCCCCGTGTCCCGACAAGGCGTGCGTGTGTGTTTACCTTGCCCGGAGTTCAGAGTGCCCTAGACACTCACGACAAGTGGCGCCCGAATTCAGGGACTCCGAAGGTCGCTTAGGAAGGTAAGTATAATTTTATTACGGGGAAATGGGACAATCTGCTTCCTCTCCTTTCTTAAAAATTCTTAAACATTTATTATCTATATATGGCATATCGCTCAGGTCAGCTGACTTGGATATGTGTATTGATACAATTAAAGAATATAATCCTTGGTTTCCAGATGAAGGAACTTTGGATGTAGAAGTATGGAGGAAGGCAAGGGTTAGTATAGAAAGGGCTATGCAACAGGAGGAAAAGATTCCTTTACGTTTTTGGGCTATTTGGTCGGTTGTGTACTCTTTATTAAAAGCTATGGAAGATGAACATATTGTAGAAAATCTTCAACTAGAAATTAAGCCAGTTATTCAGGAATTGCCCCTCACAGAGGAGGAGCAGAATGTAGTTCAAAATGACGCTATCGCTTTAAGTAGTGAAAAGGCGTCCAAACTAAAAGTAAAATCCACTACAGCCGACTCAGCTTTAGCTGCCGCAGCAATATCAAATTATGACAATCGCCCAATTTTACGGGCTATACAACATTTAACACAAGAGGTGAAACAACTCTCCGTTAAGCAAAACCCGCCTATAGTTCCCTCTGCACCTCCTCCATCTAACCCTAATTGGAGTAAAGCCAAGCTAGCTTTGGCTGATTTACCAAAATTAGGGGATTCTGATGAGGAAAAGCCTGCCTTTGCTTTCCCTGTAATCAGACCTCAGCCAATAGATGGAGAGGCAGTTCCCCCTAGATGGGAAGCATTTAATATGGATGATTTAGCAAAATTAAAAAAGGCTGTAACCCTTTATGGCCCTCAGGCTCATTACACTAGAGAATTAATAACATCGGTAGCAGATCACTATGGTAATCTTGCTCCTTATGATTGGAAAGCCTTGGCCAAAATTCTTTTAAAGGAGCCAGAATATTTACAGTGGCACATGTGGTTTATGGAAGGTTGTGCGAAAAAGGCAAGACAAAAATGCTGATATAGTGATAGAAATGTTTTAAAAGATATTTTAAAAACTTTACCTCAATATTTTTCTCCGTTTGGACTTGTAATAGCACAGGATAAAATTCAAAAGGAAGAAGTTAGTCATTATTTGGGATATATTCTTACTAGACAAAAGGTGATTCCACAAAAAATGTCTATTAGGAGAGATAAGTTATCCACTTTAAATGATTTTCAAAAATTATTAGGGGATATTAATTGGCTTCGTCCCACACTAGGTATTCCTACCCATGCATTACAGCATTTGTTTGCTACTCTACAGGGCTCTTCAGATCCATCCAGCCCTCGTTCTTTAACAACAAAAGCAGAGCAAGAATTACAGTTTGTAGAACAACGAATTAAGGATGCATTTTTAATTAGGATTGATCCTAAATTGCCTCTAACTTTATATATTATTAATACTTTTCAATATCCCTCTGCAGTTTTAGGTCAAAATGCTATGCCAGTAGAATGGGTATTCACTAAAACTAAGCAATCTAAAAATGTTATGCCTTATATTGACATGGTTGCAGCTTTAATTATGAATGGTAGAGCTCGTTCTATAACTTTGATAGGAGAAGATATAAACAATATAGTTATCCCTTTAACTAAGGAACAATGGGAATATTTGTTGTCAATTACTGAAACCTTACAAATTGCTTTAACAGATTTCATGGGAACTTTTTCATATCATTTTCCTAAAAGTAAATTATGGGATTTTTTTAGACGTCAACAATTTGTGGTTAATACCTTATTAGCTGTACAGCCAATTCCACAAGCTTTGACTATATTTACAGATGGATCTAAAAATAAAGCTGCATATTGGACTCAAAAATCTTACTGGGTACGTCAGACAAATTTTAACTCTGTACAACAAAATGAACTTTTTGCTATATTACAAGTGTTTTTAGATTTTCATAACCAACCTATTAATATTATAGCCGATTCGGCCTATTCTGTTGGAGTAGTGACAAATATCTATTCAGCTGTGTTATATTCTAATAAGCCTGCTTTATTGTCTTTATTTCAAAATTTACAAATACATGTTCAAAAAAGAAATCATTCTTATTTTATTACTCATTTACGTTCTCATTCTCAGTTACCCGGACCATTAGTATCAGGTAACAATGCAGTGGATTCCTTAGTTATGTTCACCACACCCGTTGAAGAACATCAATTTAATCATGCAAATGCAGGACATTTGCATCTTAAATATAAGATACCTTTTACAAAAGCTAAACAGATTGTAAAAGCCTGCCCTATTTGTAGACCATTACATTTAAGAATTATTCCCGCAGGTGTCAACCCTCGAGGAACTCAACCTAATGAATTATGGCAAATGGATATTACACATGTACCTTCTTTTGGTCGGCTTTCTTATGTACATGTAGTTATTGATACCTATTCTTCATTTCTATGGGCTACTGCTCAACAGGGAGAATCCACTAAAAATGTTATTGTACATTTATTGGAGACTTTTGCAGTTATGGGAATTCCTTCTAAAATCAAAACAGATAATGGACCTGCTTATACTAGCAGAACATTTAAACAATTTTGTGATCTCCATAATATTATTCATATTACAGGGATTGAATATAACCCCCAGGGTCAAGCTATTGTTGAAAGAGCACATGGCACTCTTAAGTTGCAAATTAAAAAATTAAAAAGGAGGAGTCAGGAGGATATTCAGATACCAATACTGTTTAAATTGCAAAACAGTCCAAAAACATTACTGCATCAAGCATTGTTTATTTTAAATTTTCTCAATTTACCACAAGGTGAAATATTAACAAGAGCTGAAAAACATTTTGAACAGCAACAACAGCCTTTTGTGATTAATGAACCTATTTGGACTAAAACAGCTCCAGAGGCTGAATGGGAGAGGGGCACATTGCTCTATAGGGGGAAAGGTTTTGGTTATATCTCCACAGAAAATGGAATTCAGCAGTGGGTCCCTGGACGATGGATCAGGACCCGCGTCTCCAGATCCTGTTCACCAGCCCCGGAGACAACTCCCCAAGGAACCGGAACCGTGCCTTCAGAAGCGAGCGCGAAACCAGCTAGAAGCTGAGGATGCTGAGTTTGTTCCTATCGCAGCCATGGCCAGATTACAGCTAAGAAAATCCCGCCGCTCACAGCGACCAAATTTAAATCCCCTCCCTACATGGGGACAATTAAAGAAATTGACCATAGAAGGGCAACGGCTTGTCCTTCAAGCAGGAAAGCCTTTAAACCCCGAAAACTTGTTTTTAGCTTTATGTGCCTTGCTCACCGTTGCATCGGGGACTGAGGTACCTCCGCATTCGTACTGGGCATATATTCCAAACCCCCCTTTATTAGAACCTGTAAAATGGGGAACTAGTGATATTTTACTTTATACCACACCTAGAGAAATTTTGTCAGCACCGTGGGCTGATTTAACCCCCCACAATCAAGATGATGGGACACTATTCAATTTTACTTATTATGGTAATCAAAGGCCTATTTGCATTGGGGAACCGCCTTGCATCCCTCTGGGATGGCAGTATTGGATTCAACATGGAATAAAAGCAGGCAACAAAAGGACAAGGCTTCAAGCCTTGGCTGCTCAAACCTTTAATGTTACCTGGAAAAATTTAACAGCACCTGATACAAATACATTTCCTGTATGCCCTGAATTCACTTATAAAAATATTTCTTATAATCCCATAATTTGGCAACTATGTATGGGAAAATTTGCTAAAAATATTGATGGGTATATTATTTGGGGACCATTTGGAAAATTCGTTAATGGATGTGCTGAATGGAATGAGACAAGATGTAATCTCTCTGTTGTGTATAGTCTTCCAGATCCAAAGAAAATAACTGACGGAGCTCCTATATTTCAACAAAAGACGGCTCTCTTGTGGTGGGGAGATGGTGGAATCGCTAACCCTGCTGTTGCAGCCGAAGAATACCCTCATCACCTTCAAAATCATATTTGGAAGATCCCAGCCGCTATGCAACCTGTAACCTTGTACAATGTTTCATATTCAGGGACTAGTCGATCTGTATCTACTACTTATAATTTTACTAGGTTTAAAATGTATAATATTACTGTTTGTGCACCTCTGCCTTATGTCTTTTTAGTGGGAACTTTTAATTTTACACATTTTTCTTGTACTTGTTTAAATTGTCAATTGTTTACATGCTTAAATAGCACACTAAATTTCACTAAGCCTTATACAGTTATGCTGTTACAACAAAAAACTCATATTTGGTTGCCTGTAAATTTAACTCGACCTTGGTCTCAAGACCCGGTAATTTCTGTTACTACTGAATTTTTTAAACATCTGTTAAAACGTACAAAAAGATTTATTGGAATAGTGGTTGCTGTACTGTTAAGTCTGATAACTGTAGCCTCTCTAGCAGCAGTCTCAGGAGTAGCTTTACATACCTCTTTGCAAGAAAAACATGTTGTCGAATTATGGCATGAGAATTCTCATGAACTTTGGTTAACTCAGTGGCAAATAAACGCCAAACTACAACAACAAATAGACCTCCTTAAACAAACAGTTGAATGGATGGGTAGAAAAATATTGGCTCTTCAGCATCAAGTGTTTTTAAAATGTGATTGGAATTCAACTACTTTCTGTATAACCCAACGACCTTATAATCAGACAGAACATGAATGGGAAATGATTAGAATGTATTTAAATGGAAACACCTCTGCCCAGGAGGAAATAGAATCTTTGCATAATCAAATTGACAAGGATTTTGCAAAGCAAAATGATGATGAATCTCTAGCACAATTCGCGCAATTGCTTGCTCAATCTTTGAAAGGATTAGATTCCAAAGGAATCTGGCAGAGCATTACCCACACTTTTAGTGGCATGGGACTTAGTTTAATTATAGTTCTCATTGCCATAGTTCTTGTGTATTTTTACTGCATAAGACGAAATACTATTAATAACCTGATCTTATGGAAATTGTTGTTAAAAAATAAAAAGGAAGGAAGTGTGGGGGATGAGGTGTCACTTTGTAGGCCCAACCCCCTCTAACCTGCAATTTACAATAGCCGCCCTGGTATGCGAGAAGGAGGTAGAACGGGAATGCCTGTTCTCAGTGAGCCCTCACCCTCTGGAATCCATACTGTGAGCTGGCTTTGTTTTGCAGAAGTCTTGAGGAAGTGGCTGGCCACCCTTTGTGACACTAACAGCAGACAAATTAACAACATTCTTGAGCTAATGAATTTCTTCCTGGGCTAGAGAAGTTGTGAGAACTGGTTGTGATTATTTACTTCACTTAGATAGTTTTAGAATAAACATTGTAGTCTGTCACGTTGTAGCTTGCCACAAAGAATGCCTTTTCACTACTTAATTATCTGGGCTCTGTGAATTGATCGGGTTTACTATATATGAATCCTAAAATAAAGATTGTGCGTACAGTGCAGTGCAGTGCAGTGTAACGCGGTGCAGACAGCAAAGGTGTCTCTCCTGTCTTTCTTTTCCAAGCGCTGTACCCCCCGTGTCCCGACAAGGCGTGCGTGTGTGTTTACCTTGCCCGGAGTTCAGAGTGCCCTAGACACTCACGACAACAATTAAAACTAAGAAAACAATATAAAGAATTAATGACTCAAAGGGTTGATTCTTTGAAAGAAAAAATAAAATTGGTAAACCTCTAAACAATCTTATCAAGAAAAGAAGAGAAAAACTCAAGTTCATACAATGAGGAATGAAAAGGGAGAAATTACTACACATCTTGTGGAAATTCAGAAAATCATCAAAACCTACTTTGAAAATCTTCAGTCTCTCAGCTGGAAAATACAGAAGAAATGGAGAGATTCCTAGAAACATACGAATTACCAAAGCAGAACCAAGAAGATACAAACCTCCTGGATAACCCAATAGCAATTACTGAAACTGAAAATGTAAGTAAGCACTTATCAACAAAAAAGCCCAGATCCTGATAGATCCACAGCTGAATTCTACAAGAAATTTAAAGATTTAATGCCAATAATCCACAAAGTCTTTTAATAAAATCAGGGGGGAAGCAATTCTCCCTCACTCATTCTGGGAGACAAGTGTTACTCATACAAAAAACCAGAGAAAGACCCAATGAAAAAGGAGAACCATAGGCTAATCTCCCTAATGATCACAGACACAAAGATTCTCAGTGAAGTACTAGCAAACAGAATGCAGCAAATCATCAAGATTATACATCACAACCAAGTGGGATTCATTCAGGAACACAGAGATGGTTCAATATGCACAAATCCATATACGTAATACACCACATCAACAGAGCCAAAGACAAAAATCACATGGTCATCTCAATACATGCAGAAAAATCTTTTGATGAAATCCAGCAATCATCCATGATTTTAAAAAAACCCTACAGAAAATCAAAATAGATGGTCTGTATTACAATCTGATAAAAGCCATCTGTGACAAACCAACAACCCATATCATACTAAACAGACAAAAACGGAAAGCTTTCACTGTAAAATCAGGAAGAAGGCAAGGATGTCCACTATCACCACTCTGATATAGTTCTGGAAATACTGGCCAAAGTAATTAGACAAGAGAGAGAAATAGAAGGAATAAGGATAGGAAAGGAAGAAGCTAAATTACCATTATCTGCAGATGACGTGATATTCTACATGGAAGACACAAAAAACTCCACTAAAAGGCTACTGGAGTTAATAAGCAAATTCAGCAGTGTAGCTGCATACAAAGTCAGCACTCAAAATCCAATAGATCCTTGTACACAAACAACAAACTCAATGAGAGAGAAATTATGGAAATAATATGTTTTATGATAAAATCCAAAAAATGAAATGCTCGGGAATAAATCAAATAAAAGATGTAAAATATCTATATATTGAAAACTACAGTACTCTTAAAAAGTAGATGAAGAGGGTATCAGAAAATAGAAAGATACATGCTCTTACATAGGACGAACCAGCATTGTAAAAATGGCCATACTCCTAAAACTGTTATACAGATTTCATGCAGTTATGATCAAGATACCATTAGCATACCTCAAAGATCTAGAGAAATCATTCCTAAAATTAATTTGGAAACAGAAAAGACCTAACAGAGAGAATTCCAAAGACAATCCTGGGCAACAAAAGTAAGGAAGAAGACATCACAATTCTGGACTTGAAATTATATTACAAAGCTTTTGTGATAAAATCAGCATGGTACTGGGAATAAAACAGACCTGAAGATTATTGAAGTGGATTACAAGATGCAGACACAGCTACAAAGACACTCAGCTTCCTTATCTTTGACAAAGTTGCCAAACAGGTTCACTGGAAGAAAGCCTCTTTAATAAATGATGCTGGAAAAATTAGCTTTCTACATGCCAAAGCCTGAAAATAGATCCATACCTACCACCCTGCACTAAAGTCAAAATGCATCAAAGATCTAAATACTAAAACAGAAACACTAAATCTACCAGCAGACAATATAGGTAGAAATCTTGACAACATAGGAATAGGTAAGGAGTTCATGAACAAAATGCAAACTGCACAGGAATCACTTCAAAGAATCAACAACTGGGACTTCATCTTATTAAAACATTTTTGCATATCAAAAGAAATCACCAACAGAGTGTAAAGAAAACCTACAGAATGGGGAAAATATTTTAGCCAACTGTTCCTCAGACAAAGGACTTTTATCTAGATCACATAAAGAATTGAAAAACATCAAGATCCTCAAATTCAAAGACTCAGTCCAAAAATGGGCAGTTGAGATGAATACACAGTTCTCAAATAAAGAAATACAAATGGCAAATAAATACTTGAACAAATGTTCAGTATCACCAGTCAATGGAAAAAAGCAATTTAAAACAACACTGAGATTCCATCTCACTCCAGAAAGAATGCTGCCATCAAGAAATCAAATGACAACAAATGTTTGTGGAATGTAGGGAAGAAGGAACCCTTCTCCACTGTTGCTGGGAACACAGACTGGTACAACCACTCTGGAAATTAATGTGGAGATTTCTCAAAAATCTATGATTGGAAGTCCCATTCAATCCAGCTATTTCTCTTCTGGATATTTTCTCAGAATAATTGAAAACATCATGCCGTAGGAATACATGTGTACCCATGTTTCTAACAGAACAATTTGTAATAGCTAAATTTTGAAACAACCCAAGTGCCCATCAACCATGGAATCAATAAAAGGATGTGGTATTTGTGTACAATGGAGTATTACTCAGCTATAAAGAAGAATAAACTTGAAGCTTTTATGAGTAAATGGATGCAACTTGAGACCATACTCGTATGTGAAATAAATCAGCCTCACATGTGTAAATATCATATTGGCTCCCTAGTGTAAAAAACTGAATAAGTAATATCCAAAATGCACAATAGATATTATAAAATAGATATTATAAAAATAGATATTATAAAAAACTGCTCAAAAGTAAAGAACAACTGGTTGACAAGTCATACATGCGTTTATTTGGAAAGTTATCTGGTCTGTTCCATCCACCTAAAATCTATGTTTATGTCAGCATCATACTATCTTAGTTACTGCAACTTTGTAAATATTTTTAAGTCAAGAAGTCTGATATTTTCAGCTCTGTTCTTGCTTAAAATTGCTTTGGGTATTTAGGGTACTATAGATTTCAGGATTGTTTTATATTTCTGTAAAAGACACCACTGAGACTTTGACAGAGAGTGTATTGAATGCGTATATTACTTTGGGGATTCTGGACACTAACACGAATCCTCCCAGTCCGTGAATATAAGGTATCTGCTTATTCGTGTTTATTTTCTTTTATCCGTGTATTGTAGGTGTCAGGGTACCTTCCCCCACTTCCTTGGTTAAGTTTGTCCCTAAGCATTTTATTCTTTTTGATGCTATTGTAAATGGGATTTTTTTCTTAACTTCCTGTCTGGATAATTCATTGTTACAGAAATGCAGTTGATTTTCATATGTTGATCTTGTATCCTGCCGCATTATCTGCTGATAGCCATTCTGTGGAGATTTTAGGATTTTTCTACATAGAAAATCTGTTTGTACAAACAGATTGTGTTTTTGTTTTCCTGTGTGATTTGGATTCCTTCTGTCTCTGTCTCTCTGTCTCTGTCTCCTCTCTCTGTTTCTGTCTCCTATGTCTCTCTGCCTCTCTCTCGCTCCCTCTCTCTGTCTCCTTCTCTCCATCTCTCTCTGTCTCCTTCTCTCCGTATGTCTCTCTCTGTCTCTGTCTCTGTCTCGTCTTCTCTCTCTCTCTCTCTCTCTCTCTCTCTCTCTCTCTGTCTGAATTCTCTGGCTAGGATTTCTATCATGATAGTGAATAGAAGAGGTCACAGTGGGCACCTTGCCATGTCTTACATCTTAGAGGAAAAGTTCCCAGGGTTTTGTCACTTACTGTATTATTATCAGTAGGATTTTCTTCTGTGGCCTGGTGTTTATAAATTCCTCCTACACTTAACTTGTTGAGAGATTTTCTCATGAAAAGGTGTTAATTTTTTTTATTTTAAAAAGTGAAACAGAAAAAAAGGATAGCCATTATACAAAATTTCAAAAAAAGTAGGGAATTAACAGTAGTTAATATATTGTACATTGTTATCTCAGAACTAATTGCTCAGGTTGCAAAATCTAGACACAAAAGTGATCAATCAAACAATGACAGCACAAGCTGTTCTTTTTGATCTTAGTTCATCAAAAAGGGCGTTAAATTTTGTCAAATATTTTTTCCTGCACTTATTGAGATCATCAACTCATTCTAATTCTCTGTTTCTGTGCTTTGTCATAGTGATGACTTACATATGGAATCATTCATGAGCCTAGGGCCAATCCCACTTGGTCATGGAATGTAATTCTTTCAAGGTGCTGTTGAATTAAGTTTGCTACTATTTTCTTGAGGATTCTAGTGCATGTGTTTATTGGAGGTATTGACCTATAGTTTTGTTCCTGTTGTGCTCTGGTCTGGCTTTGGGATGAGGGTAATGCTGACATAAATTGAGTTTGGAAAGATTCCCTCTTCTGTTTTCATGGAGAGTTTAGGAAGGATTAGTATAAATTTTTCTTTCAATGTTTGGTAGGTATCATTTGTGAAGCCATTTATTTTTGGGCTTTTCTTGTTCAGGAGATTTCTGTTTACTGATTCTAACCCTTTCTACTGACACTAACTCCTTATTTGCCTGCCCGAGCCTTCTATTTCCCTTTAATTCAGTCTTGGTAGATTGTATATTTCAGGAATTCATTCACTTGTACATTACCATATATATTAGCATGTAATTATCATAAGAGTTTCCTATTGTGCGTTCTTTCCTTTTGGTGACAATAATAAAGTTTCCTCTCCCATTTCTGATTTCATTTGATTCTTCTCTCTTTTTCTTAGTCTAAGGATTTGTTAATTTTATATGCATTCAAAAAACCAAACTCCTGGTGCTTTTAATTTTCCTGCTCTTTTCTATCCTCTATTTCCTTTATGTCTGCCCTGACCTGTGTTATTTCTTTCACT